ATTAATTCATAATAATCGATTTTTACAATTTAAATAATCAATTAATTCATAATAATCGATTTTTACAATTTAAATAATCAATTAATTCATAATAATCGATTTTTACAATATAAATAATCGATTAAATGGTACTGACTTCGAACCACTGATCTGAATAAAATTCTAATCGATTTTTAGTAAGTAAATAATCGATTTTTGGCCACTGTTCATCATCTTCTTCCTCGAGTCAGTTTTAACATTATCATTTTTAATCACCAAACTTCAATTTAATTATATAAAAATGTTCTCCAATGTTCACATATCATTTTAGAGCCATTAATTCGTAATTTTAACAAAAATATCATTGTTTATGATTCTTGGTTCTTCAAACATGTCAAACACAAAACTCAACCAAACGACCGTTTATGAACGTACAAACGATCTATATGAACATTCTAGTCACTAGATATATCTACGGGCTTACCTCGAAGCTTATCGAAGGTTTTGAAATTTTCCGGCAAAACTTCCGGTGATGATAACTCCCAACTCCGGCGACTTCGGTGGCCACCAACTACTGTAGCATGTTCTCCTCACTCTCAGGAACACTTTGGTACTAAACTCATTAGTTTTTTTTGAGGAGTGAGAGTGTTGATGTTTATATAGGAAGAGAATGGGGAAGGTGACAACATTTGCTGCATAGGATTTGCGTAGGAATGCATCCTCGATCGGCTGAGTGGAGTAGGAGGCTCCGTCCCTGATTGGGACTAATTTTGGTTCCAGTCGGGGTACACTTTTTGGTACAACTTTCTCCGAATTGAAATCCGTTTGCACCGTTGCGATCGTGCAATTAAACTCTATCCAACGATATAATTTTTATATTTATTCGTTATACTTTTTCCGACATCATATTTTTGGGTGGTTGACTTTGACAGAGTCAAAATTCATTTAATTGACCTTTGTTCAATAAAATTCATATATTTAATTCATGTTATTTATTTTCATGATTTATTTCAATAAATTATTTCAAAGTTCACATTATAAACAAATCCCTAATTTGGGTCTATACTCTGGTTCCCCAAATTAAGATCATACAGTAAGTCAACATATTGGATATATCTCTATGAGATTTATCCAGATTGTGATATTGGATATCAATATATGTTTTATTTCGGCCAAATCCAACAACAATTTATTTTAATCAAAACAAATTTGATTAATTGAATAATTATTCATTAATAATTCTAGGGTATATTTTGGGGCGTTACAGCGCCTCCCAGCGCACTAAGCCGATTGTGAATCTTCCTACGCTCAGCAACCAGTGTCTTCTTCTTCCTCAAATCTACTATATAAAAGGAGCTAAGCATTCTCAATTCTTCACCAAAACCTATACTTCCTTGTTCTATTCTGTTGCTCAAAGTAAGGAGAACGCAGTGGTGCTGTCAATTTGGTGAGAGATCGCCGGAGCAAGACGTGGTGTTCGCCGGAACTTTCACCGGAAAATATTCAAAACCTTCATTTACCTTTGAGGTAAGCCCGTAGATATATCTAGTGATTAGAATGTTCATATAGATCGTTTCTACGTTCATAAACGGTCGTTTGGTTGAGTTTTGTGTTTGACATGCTTGAAGAACCAAGAATCATAAACCATGAAATTGATGTTAAAACTATGAATTAATGATGCCAAAATAATCTATGAACCTTGGAGAACATCTCTATATAGTTTCGTTGAAGTTCGATAACTAAAAACTGTATTTCCGAAATTGGACCCGAACGAAGAAGATGATGAACATTGGCTGAAACACCACTGTCTGGATCGATCCAGGGGCTTGGATCGATCCCCTGGGAGTAATTGTTCATAGTATGGATCGATCCAGAGGGCTGGATCGATCCCCCGAAGTTCTGATCCGAAAATTTGCCCGAAATTGCTATTTTTGAGCTCTAAAATCCTATTTTTGATACCAATTGATTATGATTATTTTAAGGATGATTCTTTACAATAAAAAATGATGTTTTTTTTAACAAATAAAAATGTTATGTGATGCATGACGGTAAGTTCGGGTGTTAACACTTGAAACTAGACCGCTAATTGTTATTGTTTTAAATGTTATGTTGATTGATGATTATGATTAATGAACCTACTGATTGAAAATGAATATGTTGATGATTATGGTAATGATTATTAGTTGGTGATTATGATGATTAAATCTTGATAAATGTTTTGATTAAAAATGGTAATTATGAATGATTAAATTATAATGAATATATTGATGATTGTAAAAATAATATGTATTGTCAAGGGTATTGATGGATATAATCCACTAGTACCACCCGGCAAGTTCACAGGCGCCCGGGGGTACCAAATTCTGACCCCACATGACCTCACCAACCCCGGTAGACTGACCGGGTGGATGTCAGGGGTCAGACATGTGAGATCATTACTACATTCGCATAAGGCTTAAAGTCTGACCAGGCTTGACCGCACCGTCCCCGTTAATCTGCCCGGGTGGATGGCTTGAAGACTGCCCGGGTGGATGGTTTGAAGACTGCCCGGGTGGATGACCTGAAGACTGGATGGCATGAAGACTGACCGACCGGAAGAACAGGAACGTCGGGACGTGCTTGACGTGCTTGTTTTTATTATAAATACCCCTAAAAGCCTCAATTGTGAGGCATGCTTTTATTAATCCACACGGCTTGTATTTGTAATAGCTCCTATTATCAATAATGACAAACCGGGTTACAGGTGTTTCCACCTACAACCCTTCCGATTACTTATACTTAGCATTTGCGTGGTAATTTACACCATCAGGTCTCTAGAAGACCTCTAAGATATACCCATATTAATGTTGATTTGAAAGGTATCTAGAAGAACTCTAAGATATACCTATATAAGTTAGGCCTTGCGGGTATGATTCTCGGTGGCTAGGGTTAAAACGTACGTACGGGATCCAAGAACCAAACTTGAGTACCTACTCGTTTGGGGGTACCACCCACCCAACAGTGAACACTACGCTGTCGGTTTTTGGTTGGCCTTAAGTGAAGGTAAGTTTAAGATTTCCAAAACCCTTTTATCTTAAACTAGGCCTAGCTTAAGGATTATTAGCAGTACTCGGTATACTGGAATATAGTTTAATTAGTTAAACTAGAATTTATTTAAGGGTTACAAATATTAAAATGATTGGCCTTAGACTAAGAATAGTTTAAGGATATTGTTGAATGACAAATGAAGAACATACATGTTGAACGATTGAATACTGAATGTTGAAAATTGAATATTGATTATTGAATATCTTAATGAACATTATGTGCATGATATCAAATGATTTGATTGTGAATTGAGATACAATTTATATGGATGTTCGACGCATTAGATATGCTTACTCAGCTTTACCATTGAGCGTGTAGTATGTTTTATTTGATACACGCAGGTTAATAGAAAGAATGATGTGACGTGATCCTAGAGGCGGACGGAGGCGAGACTGTCGGAATGGATGTGATGTTTTGAATTAAAGAACATAAATAAATTATGTTTGTAATTAGGATTTGTTAAGCTTCCGCAATATTGAAAACTCCATACTGTTTATGATATGAAAATATTATTGTGATAAATAAAAGTGTTTGAAATGTTTTAAATTTTACGATTACCAAGTTAATACTTTAGTCCGAAAGGGGCTGTAGACCTGTACGGATTAGGGTGTTACAATTTGGTATCGGAGCAAATGGTTTTAAAACCGATCTTCGGATCAAAATTTGAATTTAAAAAAAATTGAGTCAATCACATCCACGACTCTCGCGTCCCTCTGCTCCAGGAAAGTTATGACAAATTACTTGGTAAATATTTACTCTGTTAAAATTCTCATTGAATAACAATTGATTAGTAGTCAAATCGTATCGAGCTTAGACTCTAGTAGAACTTTCGTACTCAGTGAAGAGACGCAAGAATGAATGAAAAATATATGACCCTCTGATCCGTTATTAACGCACGCATTGCATCGCGAAGGACGAAACTGATTTGCATCGCAAAATCGTACGAAAGTGAGACGACTATGAAGAAACGATAATTGTTGAGAAGCATGTGTGAAGCCGATGTCAAAGATACTCATGTGGACTCAAGATGATCTAAACGCTGATTCAAACACGAACGTTTAGAATCAATAAACTCTGTTATCTAAAGTATCCCATTCTAATGTTTAACTCATTAAGATGCAAATATGCGATTATATCTTAGGCATCAAAATCGTTCGTTAAGTGACAACTCCTTGCAAAACCTCGTTGAAATACCATACAAGGAATTTGACAATTATCCTTAGTATACATTGGCTGATCGAACGACGTTGGTATTGACAACTCTTGACGAAGAAATTCTTCAACTGAAGATCAATGATGGAAACCTTATATAGGTGAAAGCAAAGCTGATTTCTAAACCGACCGAGTTCATCTCGAATTTATGTGCACAAACCTCTCAACCAAAAAGGAGCGTAAAGTCTTTTTGTGTGATACGCGAAAGAAAGATCTGAACTGAAGGATCAATATTCGTAACTCTATATTGAACGTGTTTCCATCAATGACTTCCTGACAAAGAATCATCTGATCAAGTGTTTCCTCCTTGGGAGAATACCTGTTTTGTTCATACGCAAATCAATGAGACTCTATATCAACTACTATCAGTTGAATAATTCGCTATCCTTTACCTCGTATCATGACTTATTTGATCAGCTAAGAGAATTCATTGTATTCTCTAAGATTGACTTACGGTCAAGATACTCACAAATCCCTGTTAAAAAAACTTGAACAAACTGACGATCGAGAATTGCTATCCTTTACTATGAACTGACGACTTATTCGATCAAATTCAAATAACCTGCTTGTTAGAAAATATAGACCGCTCAACCTTGTTAAATGAACTGATGTCTTGTTATGAAGCGATTAATGACCTTATTGCTTATCATCGAAAAAGTCGATGTAGTCTGATTGAAATAATGAAGTGAAGTAATTGACTCGAAAGATTACGACGTGGTGACAATACAAAACAAGACGTGAAACAGTGACCCCAACAGTGAAAGATTGAAGAATGAAGAAATGCAGCTCGCACTGGCCATACAACGTAGAATAATATTCATAAATTCCGACACAAATACAACTGGGATTACATGAAGTAATATTACAAATGTAAATCTAAATCTAATCCCCTGGGATTTGCGAACTCATCGTAATTAGCACCAGGACCCAGAAAAGCTTTAGAAAACTCTAGTTTGTCTAAGAGCTCATCAACAAAGAAAGAAGAGATGAACAGTTTCCTTTGATTCAAAGCCATGAAGTTCTGTCTCACCGCATCATCTAGAAACTTGATTAGGTTATTGAAATAACCGTCAATGTTCAAGAGACCAATGGATCTATTGTGTAACCCTTCAGAAGCCCACGCGATCAAGGTGAACAAACCTTCCATAGTGCCAACTCCTCCGGGAAGAACGATGAAAGCTTCCACAGCATGATTCATCTCAAAATATTTGTAGTAATTGCTGGAAACTGTGTGCTCTACGCCATATGTAGGTCCGTAGACCCGTCGTGTTGCTATGTACCCAGGAATGAAACCTCTAACGAGACCACCATTGGTGAAGACTGTTAAAGCAACTGCTCCTTGAAGGCCAACACTACCTCCTCCATAGGCAAGTTTAATCTTTCGCCTTATCAATTCCCTTCCTAAATCTACCGCAGTAGCCATAAACTTTGGATTTCTACCAAGAGAGTGACTGCCAAGAAGACCAACGAATCTTATAGTGTAAGGAAGTGTTCGAGAAGTTCCTTCCATAATGTGAGAATGTGAGATACTCTTTCTATAATCATAATATATATATAGCCTCAGAAACCTGACCACTGATGGAAAGGTAATTGTCACCAGCCAAAATACGTACAGTAAAATGTATTCAATATACCTACAGACAAGAACGTACTCGCTAATATTATGGTCTGCTGACGATATGACGTATTGAGACTCTTGAACAGTTGGATTCGTTGTCTTGAAACACGTTTAAATCCGAGACGAAAAGTCAAAACGGCTATTTCCCTAAGACAATGACTCCTTGAGTAGCTTCCAAAGAGTGAAACATTGAGGGATGAAAACCTACGATTAGTAACGATAATTCACAAACGTTATCTTTGTATCTTCTGATTCATACCCTTGAAATACTCAAACTTATTGTGTTGATCACACTCTTGAAACATCCCACTTGACCAATCTTGAAAAGATTGAATTCCATTACTGGTATCAAGATATTGAACCATGAAAAATTTGTCTTAACTCACAAT